TTTAAACTTTGTTATTTCAGATGGAACACCCTGCATTTCATTGCATTTTTAGATTCTTTCAGTAGATAGTGAATCAAAAGTTAAGATAAGGACATGTAAGCCGTTTTGATCGATAATGGATAGTTTCGATACAAAAAATCCTAAAATTGAAAAATCTCGATTTTGAACACCCTATATCTCTGTAATCATTCCTACTAGACCCCAAGTGTGATGCATTGATGAAATCAGCTCTTAAAGAAGAATTTGAAAATGTAATAAAATACAGGGTGTTCCATTTGAAATAACGAAGTTGCTAGTTGTATCTGATAGAAGTGGCAACACTGTATCGATAAAAATATTTTAGACGGATAGAGAATGTTCAATTATCAAAGCACTCCAATTTTCGGAATGTTCTGTTCTTTCGTTCTCCAGATACTTCTAATAGGCCATCTACCGTGGATCACCCTGTATGATTTGGTCACGCGTTTTTCCACGTTTTTCATGTTATGAAATAACGTGAACTTCAATAATTGATTGAAAAATGTACAGAGCTCTGAGGAAAAAACGGTTTGTGACAATGTATTAGTTAGGGTTGATACTTCGAAATGATGAAATTTACTTGAACATTCCCATTAATAACTAAAATTACAATATAAATACGGTAGGATATTTAAGACACTTTAGTATAGTCTTATAGAAAAATAAATTTATAGATTAGTGCGAGTTTGATGAAATCTTGAAATTATTTATAAACTCTGTTTTTACTTACACATGGCCACGGTAGTTATAAATATAATGGGATCCTTTGACTTTTAATTATAGATCAAATTGAACTTGAATAATGGTTTATCGCTGAAAAGCAACAACACACAACACGTCAACATCACAAACTTTTATTTATTCCAATAACCACAAGACATCAATAATCCTCCAAATATTCATCAACTCATTTTGTAGAATCAGTGCAAATACTACAAGGTTCTCAATATTCAACATATTTATATTTCCAGAGAGAGAAACTCAGTCATTACCACAATAGTTCATAAAATGAACGAAAATGGTAGATAACGAGAGAAGAACGACTACTTTCCGGGCTATATGCCACGGAAAATATTGGATTTTATCCTCCCGAAATCTATGCAGTAATTCGTATAGACGAATGAAATCGCAAGTCTTTCCTTCCTAAACGCCGAGCTGCGACTAAGTGGTTCAGGAACGCCTGACTACCTGCAGACCGGTTTCGAGCTGTTGGCTCCCCAGCGAGCACAAAAACATCTCAGAGATGTTAAAAGTACGAGATTTCGAGACATTGAACCTCATCAATAGAACTATTATAGAACAGCCAATGTCCGCCGCAGGCGGCAATTATCGAGATGTCCTTGATATGTCACAAAACTACCTTCTCCCTAGTTCTTTTTAATGCCTTTTCATGGACACAACAAAACATTTTCAACGCGTCTTGCGCACATTAAATCGCTGTAAAAAAAACATTTTCGAGGTACTTTTCTGAAGCCTTTTGTCAAAATGAACTTTTGCATTAGGATTCCATTTCCTTTGAATGAAAAAATGCATTAAAAATAGATTGAACATAAAAATATTTTCTTGATATGAAATTACCTTCTTAATCGGTTTCTGAGTACTGCTTACTACACACAGACATATAATTGGAAATAGGTTTCCCAATTTTTGAAATTTTCTCCACAATGCATAATTTTGCAACTGCGGAGAAGCTGTGTATTGATAAATTCGTACTTTTATATATTGATTACACTGAGGCACCGAACAACACATCTTGCATCTGATGGTCATTATTACAAACTAAATAAGTCTTCTAACACAATAAACTTCACCAAATTCCTTTCTGTTCGTTAGCAGCGTGATGTAAGCGTGACACGCTGCAAACGCGAATGCCAATTGCGAACAAGAAGAACAAAATCGAAAACAAATCAGAATTCATCGTATTGTGACGTAAGCATGAGACGTTGTGGTGGGGCAAACAAAGGAAGGGCACAAAAGAACAAAAACAATACTTTCAATATCCTTCTAAGACCTCTTTGGGAAGTGCATATTACGTCTCAAAATAACATCTTCATGCCAACATCCCAAAACATCCCAGGGATGTTTGTGCTCGCTGAGTATGCTGATTGAAGAGGTACCCTTCTAGATTTGAGTTGAGCAAAAGCGTTAATAACATCTTCAAAATGTATTTTTTCTAGCATATCACATTCTATCGACATTAGCGACAAACTATTCAATCTCTCTTGAAGCATTGTACTTCCTAATTCACTTTTTATTTCTTTTTAATTTGGAGAAGGAGCGTTCCCCATTGCAGTTAGTTACCATGATGCTTAGAAAGATTCTCAGTGCGATTTTTAAACTTTGTTATTTCAGATGGAACACACTGTATTTCATTGCATTTTTGGATTCTTTCAGGAGATAGTGAATCAAAAGTTAAGATAAGGACATGTAAGCCGTTTTGATCGATAATGGATAGTTTCGATACAAAAAATCCTAAAATTGAAAAATCTCAAATCTCTGTAATCATTCCTACTAGACCCCAAGTGTGATATATTGATGAAATCAGCTCTCAAAGAAGAATTTGAAAATGTAATAAAATACAGGGTGTTCCTTTGAAATAACGAAGTTACTAGTTGTATCTGATAGAAGTGGCAATACTGTATCGATAAAAATGTTTTAGACGGATAGAGAATGTTCAAATATCAAAGCACTCCAATTTTCGGAATGTTCTGTTCTTTCGTTCTCCAGATACTTCTAATAGACCATCTACCGTGGATCACCCTGTATGATTTGGTCACGCGTTTTTCCACGTTTTTCATGTTATGAAATAACGTGAACTTCAATAATTGATTGAAAAATGTACAGAGCTCTGAGGAAAAAACGGTTTGTGACAATGTATTAGTTAGGGTTTATATTTCGAAATAATGAAATTTACTTGAACAGGTCCATTAATAACTAAAATTACAATGTGAATACAGTAGGATTTTCAAGACACTTTAGTATAGTGTTATAGAAAAATAAATTTATAGATTAGTGCGAGTTTGATGAAATCTTGAAATTATTTATAAACTCTGTTTTTACTTACACATGGCCACGGTAGTCATAAATATAATGGGATCCTTTGAATTTTAATTATAGATCAAATTGAACTTGAATAATGGTTTATCGCTGAAAAGCAACAACACACAACACGTCAACATCACAAACTTTTATATATTCCAATAACCACAAGACATCAATAATCCACCAAATATTCATCAACTCATTTCGTAGAATCAGTGCAAATACTACAAGGTGTTTCTCAATATTCAACATATTTATATTTCCAGAGAGAGAAACTCAGTCATTACCACAATAGTTCATAAAATCAGAGATTATGGTAGATAACGAGACTACTTTCCGGGCTATATGCCACGCAAAATATTGGATTTTATCCTCCCGAAATCTATGCAGTAATTCGTATAGACGAATGAAATCGCAAGTATTTCCTTCCTAAACGCCGAGCTGCTATACTAAGTGGTTCAGGAACGTGTGACTACCTGCAGACCGGTTTCGAGCTGTTGGCTCCCCAGCGAGCAAAAAAACATCTCAGAGATGTTAAAAGTACGAGATTTCGAGACATTGAACCTCCACTGCGATGTTCTGTTCACACATCAATAGAACTATTATAGAACAATCAATGTCCGCCGCAGGCGGCAATTATCGAGATGTCCTTGATATGTCACAAAACTACCGTCTCCCTAGTTCTTTTTAAAGCCTTTTCATGGACACAACAGAACATTTTCAACGCGTCTTGCGCACATTAATTCGCTGTAAAGAAAACATTTTCGAGGTACTTTTCTGAAGCCTTATGTCAAAATGAACTTTTGCATTAGGATTCCATTTCCCTTGAATTAAAAAATGCATTAAAAATAGATTGAACATAAAAATATTTTCTTGATATGAAATTACCTCCTTATATAATCGGTTTCTGAGTAGTGCTAATTACTACACACAGACATATAATTGGAAATAGGTTTCCCAATTTTTGAAATGTTCTCCACAATGCATAATTTTGCAACTGCGGAGAAGCTGTGTATTGATGAATTTGTACTTTCATATTGTGATTACACTGAGGCACCGAACAACACATCTTGCATCTGATGGTCATTATTACAAATTGAATAAGTCTTCTAACACAATAAACTTCACCAAATTCCTTTCTGTTCGTTGGCAGCGTGCGATGTAAGCGTGACACGCTGCAAACGCGAATGCCAATTGCGAACAAGAAAAACAAAATCGAAAAAAAATCAGAATTCATCGTATTGTGACGTAAGCATGAGACGTTGTGGTGGGGCAAACAAAGAAAGGGCACAAAAGAACAAAAACAATACTTTCAATATCCTTCTAAGACCTCTTTGGGAAGTGCATATTACGCCTCAAAAAAACATCCTCATGCCTACATTTCTGAAACATCCCAAAACATCCCAGGGATACCTCTCAGTAGGCAAACAAAGAAATGCCACAGAAGAACAAAAACAATACTTCAATATCCTTCAAAGACCTCTTTGGTCAGTGCATATTACGTCTCAAAATAACATCTTCATGCCAACATTTTCAAAACATCCCAAAACATCCCAGGGATGTTTGTGCTCGCTGGGTCTCATCAGTGCAGGGCTGGATCAGGTTCGCACCAGATAGCGGTCAAGAAACTATCCGGGACAGCCCTGCTACGTTCGGAGTACGTTCTGGTGCCAACAGTTATCACCAAATGTCTGCTGGTATTTCCTTCGGAATCGTGCGGGAAAGTAAAAATAATGCGGAAAAGTAAAATCTCAGGGAAGAATACAACTTTCAAAACGAAAAATCATGCCGAAAAGTTACTTTTCCGCAAACTCGTAGGAAAATAAAAAACTTGTTGATATGTCAGCGTAAACAAATATATTAGCCTTATCAGTTCTGGTCTCGAATGGATAAGGTGGCGCTGGGATTTTCCGGACCACCGCAAGATTTATCATTTTCAGGGCAACTACGGAAAGTCGACTTCCGACAGTCGCGTCAGTCCCACTTTTGGACCCCACAGTGCTGGACAGTCCGCCATGGAGAAGACGGAGAAGAGGTCGTTCAACAACAATCTGGACGAGTTGGACTCCCTGCTTCTGGACCTGAGCAGCAGATACAATACGCCAACACCTTCAGGTAAGAATTTATAATATATAAAGGATTTGTCTTCATCTTCTGGATCTTCAAAAGACCCCGCAAATTCAGTACGGAAAATGGCTTTCACCAGCGTAGATAAGGGGGGGGGGCACTGGGGGACAGTACCTTCCCCCTGAAAGCACAAGAATAGTAAAACAGTAAAAGACTTAGAAACAATAATTGATAATGAATTCAAAATGTTATATATCAACAGTTTGATCCCTGATTATGTTCATACCAGTGATTCAAAGATTCTAGTAAAACTAGTTTTCCTCCGATTGGCAGCAAATATTAATTTTGCTGGCACATATCAATCAGCAAAGTATTACTTTTCCTGCCTAGGCAGCAAAGTGATTACTTTGCTGATTGATATGTATCAGCAAAATTAAAAATCCATAAATCTTTTATAATTTCCTTCATATCTCATCCGAGACTTCTCCGGCAACAAATTCAACTCTATATTTTTTGCCACCTCCCTTGTTAATGGAGGTGTAAGTATACTTCCAGGTCGCTATCACTGTTTATTATATAATAATTTAAATATACCGATATTTTTTCGCACAACTGTCAGAAATTTCATGAATGGTCAAACCAACAACTGCGATTTCTATCAAATTTTATTTCGATTGAACACTATATACAGGAAGAATAAAGAGATTGTGGGAATTGTATTATTTCGCAAATACAATATTCTTCCATATCATTATGAACAATCGGAGAAAAAATTATATGTTCAACTCGGCAGCAAAGTAGATTGACTGCCTTAGCTGGATTCAGCCACGGCAGTCAATCTACTACTTTGCTGCCTAGTTAAACAAATAACTATTCTGAATATGTTAGTAAATTTAGAAATGAATTTTCTCCCAAACATTTCAGTCAGATTTGTTGCAATCAGAAATAGATCTTTGGAAAAATGAATGGGAATAATTGACCCAAAGAAACAGCCCTAGATACTTTACATTATTGCAGTATCGAAATATGTCCCACTATTTATACACTCCTGCAGATAAAATCTGTTATGCATGTGAATGTGGCGAGTGCTGAAAGATAATTTTCTATACACTTAAGTAAGACACTGAAATCATGGTTATGGTGTACAATAAGTCAGGCTAGTCGGATTAACTTTATATTAAATATTCATAGATATATTGAAATAGATATAGATGCTGTTATCGATAGGTTTTCCTCGAGGTTTTCAAAGCAATTTAAAAGACATTGGTTTATAATCTAGTCACGGGGGTACCTGATATTTTGTTAATTGGATTTGATCAAGAGTTTTGAATGATAAGTTACCTACTTTATATTATCTAATGGTGGAATTGAGAGATTATTTCTTTTTTTTTGCATCTAGTTCATATAATACGCATATAAAATATGTTTTCATCGGGAATATTTATCTTGATTTGTTCATTTGAATGACTGATAATTGTTATTTCGGTAATTTTGAATATTCTATGATATAAAAACAGCTTTAATAAAAGTTGAAGCTAATATACCACCATTTTGTGTTGATTTATTATACACTGAAACGCGTTGTACTACTAGGCAACCCCCAAATTATAATTTAATTTCCGCTACTGAGTACCCCTCCTAGAAAAAAAAACATACCTACGCGCCTGATGGCTTTCGGCTAATTCTTCTGAAAATTCGATATGTTTCAGATATTGGCGTCCTTATTACACAGTCCAATTTACAGATCGATCCTATGACCAGTTTTCGAGCTACAGGGTGTCAATCATAATTTGATTTTGACTGTTTAGAATATTTTGCATCGATTCGAATTATGTGCTCTAAGTCGTGATAAATCTTCAGTAGAAATAAACGCTATACGTCTAATTTCTACCTCATGAATCCCTCTATTCGAATAGATAATAATATCATATACAGGGTATTGCATTCTATCATGATGAGGTAGGTAATATTCATGGGACGAGACAAATATTGAAAATATCAGCATTTCTATTGTTACTCAATCACTGAAAACTTGAAAACCAACGGCTACAATCGGCCAATTATGTGACACACTATGAATCTTGATCATCAACATGAGGATTCATATGATTCCGTCTGATACAATGTCCGGTTTGCCATATATAGGGTGATGACAATTTGAAAACTTAGAATTGATGTAACTCATGTACAAAATGAGATTGATATCACGAATGGTTCATAACTGTTTATATAATATATAAAGTGGAAAATAAAATGTCTCATGGAATACCACCCCCAACCCCCTGAGCCACCCCAACGATTATCATTTCAATAGTAGCCCCTACTTGTGATACCTCATTGAATAGCTCGGTGAAAATGCATGCCAGTGGTATTATTCATATTTCGGACTAGGTGAACTAACAAAAAATATTCATTACCTATATCATTCAGCTAGGCTAGGGTGGCGTATTAATTCCATAACTTTTTGTATAATGAGAAAAAATCGTTTATGTATCTCATTTTGTACATGAGTTACATCAATTATTCTAAGCTTTCAAATTGTCATCACCCTATATATATGGCAAACCGGACATTGAATCAGAGGAAATCATATGAATCATCAAGTTGATGATCAAGATTCACAGTGTGCCAAATAATTGACCGATTCTAGCCGTTTGTTTTCAAGTTTTCAGTAATTGAGTAAAAATCGAAATTCTGATATTTTCAATATTTGTCTATTTCCATGAATATTCCCTTGTCATGATGGAATGCATTACCCTGTATGTGGTATTATTATCTATTCGAATATAGGGAGTCATGAGGTAGAAATTAGACGTGGAGCGTTTATTTCTACTGAAGATTTATCACGACTTAGAGCACATAATTCAAATCGATGCAAAATATTCTATACAGCCAAAATCAAATGATGACACCCTGTAGCTCGAAAACTGGTCGTGAGATCGATCTGTAAATTGGACTGTGTAATAAGGACGCTAATATATGAAACATATCGAATTTTCAGAAAAATTAGCTGAAAGCCATTTTCCGTACTCATTGTGCGGGGTCCTTTCGAATTGACTCGACTGTTACTTGATGGCAATCTATAGCAAATGTAAAAACTTACACAAAAGATAAGATTTCCACAAAATTCTTGATAACAGAACATGTTTCGCTAACACAGTAGCTTCATCAGGTGACATACTAGTACAATAATGAACTAAACTAACCTTGGCTTGCCTAAATTTTAGGATATATAAAAGTTAGACAAGCCAAGCTTAGTTTAGTTCATTGCACTAGTATTTCACCTGAAGAAGCTACTGTGTTAGCGAAACATGTCTTATGATTAAGGATTTTGTGGAAATCTTTTCGTTTGTGAAGTTTTTACATTTTCTGGATCTCCGAGTTAGAATCGAATATGAGGTAGGGCATTAGGTACCTATTTGAAGTGTGTCGTAGAGTTTGGGGTCTTGTTTCAGTCATAAAAATGATCGTATTTCTTGAAATAGTCAAAAATAACATGACAGTGACTAAAGGGGGCAAACAATCTTTTTTTGATGCCAATTAAATAAATCACAGTCATATAAACATCAACAAGGTTACATATTTAAATATATCTCAACATGTATGTTAAACTCTTCGATCTGCCAAATTTACGAAATTCTGGTAGAACTTGGTCAATATCAATTTCCTCTGTTCTCCTAGAGTCATTGTCCTGTCATTGTTTCGCAAGTAATTCTTAAACCTGACCTTGCACCTTGCACCCATTGACTTTCTTTCCTACTGACCTGAATGTTTGGAAAAGAGAATTACGATGGAATACCCAGGTAATAATAGAAACATTTTTGCAAAGGTGCAGGTATATTTTGATTATTGATTCAATCACACAGTAGATTACCAAGGTGACGTCATGAGCTCACATCCTATAACGTGAATAAGTCATAGCTCCAGGACATCATATTGCACAAGTATGTCAACTCATTTTTGTGAAATAATGCTTTTTTTAGAGATATTAATTAGGGTAGATAGTTTCAAGTGGACCACTATTGAATTGGGGTATTCTTTCCAGATAATATGAATGGAAGTGGCATCTATCATAACGGTTCTTCTGGTGGTAGGAGTCCAGCAAGCTATTCCTATTCAAGGCCAACTAGTGCCCAAAGTACTTCGAATAGGCCTTCAGTCGACAGCTTGTTAGAAGAACTCAGTTCCACTGGGTGAGTTGTGATAACATTTTCCTGTAATTTTAGAATATCTTATGAATGGAGCACTCGACTAATATTGAATTTTTCTCATTCAAGACTCCAAAATCCATCAATAGGTATTATAAGTTTACTGTTTCTCGGCTGACGCCTCGCCTATCAATTTGCCGACTAGACTATAATCGACAGTGTTCCATCCTTGGCACATAAATAACTATCAATAAGTTGGAATTTTGCACGAAACAAATTTTGAACAAAAACGAATTGAAGAGTTATATTAGCCGTGATTAACGATTCCCCAAATGGTCGACGATTTCCCCAAATAACCCTTCGTTTTGGCACATGATCTTTTGCTAATAATGTTGTCATTATGTGTTAGAGAAAATGTGCATGTTACGAAAATATTTGGCAAGTGAAGGAAACACAATTACATCAAGTCCATTAATACCGTCAATCGTGGATCTAAACTTGCCAGAAAGTCGATTTTTCGTATTAGAAAAGCAAATAGAGCAGCTAGTCGCTTTTAATGAATACATGTCAGATTTCTCAACAGTCAAGGTGTAAAGAATGAGATTGTTTTTTTGAAAATAGTTCCATTATAGTTTGTTTTAGGGAACATCAAATACTTATCCATTCTCGATTAATATAGTTATTCCTAAAACTTCACGAGGTATATATTTTATATCAAAATAGGGTATTCAGTACACAGCTTCGCGGATGATAGTACCCTCCATACCGCCTTCTCTTCCAGGGGTCCAATACCAGCAAGGCAAATCAGAAACGAACGAGGGAGAAATGTTGACAACATAAATATGGCAATAATTCTCGAATGGGGATCCAATAACTTGGTAGATTTCAATGCAAACAAAACATGCCTTTTCTCTAGAAAAGCCGATCTCACTGTGCCCAACATAAGCTTGTCAGGAGTAACCATACCTTTGAAGACATCCATTTCGATGCTTTCGTTGTTCGGAGCTATCAGCAATAACATTTCTTGGGAAAATCACGTGAGATCAATTGCTAGAAGTGCATCCCGAAAACTTGGTTTTCTGTTTCGGGCCAGGAGCTATTTCACTTCCAGTCAGCTGCTTAATTATGATCTATAAGGCACAGATCCGACCTGTCCTGGAATACTGTTCCCATATTTGGAGTGCAGCACCCAAACATACCCTGAAACTGTTGGATTCTGTCCAAAAAAGGTCAATTCGTCTCGTGAGTGATACCTCGCTCACAAACTCACCCACTTCTCTCGTACACCGTAGAAAAGTTGGTGATCTGGCTCTATTTCACAGATATTTTCTGAAATATCAAGAATTTTTCCTCCCTTGGCAGTCCCCGCGAGATTAACCCGTCGAGTTGAGCCTTCGCACCCCTTCGTGGTCATTTTGGAGACCTGCAGAACATCTCTTTCCAAAGAGTCGTTCATCCAACGAACACCGAGGCTCTGGAACACATTGCCAAGAGAGGTGTTCCCCCAGGAATATAACCTCCAGAAATTCAAGAACACCAATTCCTACTATTTCCCTTGGTTCTCACGATGTTCTCTGAACATTACAGGATATCCCTTTTCGTGGAAACCAGAACATAAAAAAAACCTCTCCAAATATTTTTTGTATCCAATACAATAATGTGAGAGCTAAATGCAATCTTCCATAGTAACGTCCAGAACAAAGACATCAGCGCCATCATGCGTTGTGGAAGTCGAACTAACTCGAACATTGACAGTCGTGGCGGCAATTTCAAAATGTCATTGGTTATTGACTGTATCATTTCAAGAGGAATACATACATACATATCAAATACAGATTCGGTTCGGGACACATAAGATTTCATTGTTTAGGGAGGTTTTCTATGGTATGGTTAATTCGGTAATTCAAATTGCTCGCCTGTAAATGCTTCTGCGCAAGCATCCAAACTGTCATTCATGATATCGACTCATGTCACTGGGGACTCTAGTCACTTCTCCATGTGTTTTGGCTGCCATATTTTATTTAAATTACAGAAGTTTGATTTCTTGTTTGTGTTTTGTAACACAGAATTCTAAGGATTTTTTTACAAATCTTGTATTTCTGATTCATCATGAACTTCTATTCTACGTTAAAACTTGACCACCCCGTATAAAATATATTTGGAAAATTGCTAATTCGAGGTGCGATAGATTGATCGATCAATCAAATTATTATTATTCACCTTCGAGCGATGATGTAGATATTTTTGTAGGTAACTTTAGTAAATATACATGCCGGTTTAAAATATAATTTGATGATAATCGTGTCAAGGTTTTTCAAACTATAACAACTTTGATTATGAGGCTTTTAGCTTATATATTTAAGTGCATGTGGTGAAACAGAGATGATTCAGATTGTTTTGATTTTACCGAGCACAGGGGCGTCAATTCAGTAAATACGAGGGGGGTCAAAGAAACTCAGACAACATTTTTTAAATACGAAAAATGTGCTGCAGGTGACATTTTTCTGGGGTTCAAGGTCAGATGACTTCAAATTGAAAATGATATTTCATTCAGAGAGACAACTCCATTTCAGTGTTTACCAGGAAGAGGATCAAAGAAAGTTAGACAAACATTTTGTTCGTTAAATTGCGCCGCAGGCGAGAATTTTGTTGGGATTCAAGGTCAAATAGCTAAATAAGATATCTTCCAGACTGACAACAATTTTATCATATTATCATATTATGAACTATTCAGTTTCATGTTCCCAGTTTTTGCTGCAATTGATAAAAAATTATCTGAAAATAGGAACGATATGAGGAGAAAGACAAAAGTATTTCGGATTCTGTCTAGGTTACCCGAGTAGTTGGATGTTCCTGAAATTTTTTGGGAACAATGGATATACTGACTCATTCTTTCATCGTATCCCAATCAACAACTATCACTCATAATAGGAAATGAATTATTCATCAGTACATTGTAATTTTAACATTTTAGGAAAATTTGCTTCCACATTATATTATAACTATCCGAAATAATGCCTGTATATAAATAGGCGAATGCAATGATCTTGCCAATTACAGAGCTATCAGCTTACTTTGTAGTTTTTCCAAAATCATTGAGATTAACGTTAAAAATCAGCTTCACTCATTCATGAATCAATATGAATATATCATGAAGTCAACATGGGATTAGTACTAATATGATTACTGATACAGCTTTGAATATTGTTCAAAATGAACTCGTCTGTAGGTTGGACAAAGGTGACCACTTGATGGGCTTTTAAAAGACTTTTCCAGTGCTTTCGATGTAGTTGACCATACCATACCACTGGTTAAACTTGAAACATATGGGATAAGAGCCATCCTTGTTTTCTTTTTCAATCATATCTCGTCAATAGAAATCAGGTTGTTTCGCTCAATGATATTCGCAGTCCCTGTTGCAGCATCACATAGGGTGTTCCACAGGGATCAGTTATGGGCCCTCTACTTTTGACTTATTTGCGAATGACCCCATATTCCAAATGTCAAGATCATTTGTTATGCCGATGATACTAACATCATTATCTCTGGTGACAATCAAAAATCTCTCATAAATTCCACAGAAAGAGTAATGTGTACATAGCTGGTCGAGAAATAACAACTAGCTATTAAACCACACGGAAACAGTGTTGGTATATTTCGGACGTAGAAGACAAGATGCACCTATCATTTTCAAAAATACAGAAAAAGAATTGTTCTGCTCTGAAAATGTCGAATTGTTAGGAATCACTTTCGATAGGCAACTGTTATGGACGGAGCATATTGACCAATTATGCAAAAAACTACGTGGTGCTACAGCATCAAATATATGAGAAATCACTGTAGTAAACATATACTGGTAACTTTATATTATGCCAACTTTCACTCCAAAATGACATATGGAATACTTTTGTGGAGAAATAGTGCCACAGCAAACAGTGTGTTTAATTTACAAAAATATGTGTTATACGTATTATTGAAAACACTGACATGAGGACTAGTTGTAGAGAATTTTTGAACGAACTGAAAATCTCCACATTATGCAGCATATTTTATGTTACTTTGTATATATTTTTATGAATTGAATAGCATTTCAACTTCCCCATCAAAGCATGATCGCTATAGCAATTTGTTACAACCCAACTCTCACTCCACTACACTTCATTAAAAGAGTTTTTATTTCATCGGGTGCAAATTATATAATGAATTGAATAATGAAATCAAATCTGTACCCAATGTGAACATTTTCAAAGAAGGTTGATGAAAGTTTTAATTGAAAAATGCTGTTATCCATAAGACGTTTTTTTGTTGTTGAATTATTATACTTAATTTTGTATTAATATTTCTATGTCTCCATACACCTCGCCATAGATTTATTGATATGTTTTGTTTGATATTAGGTGTTTGTTCATTTATATTTCAGATGTGAATATTTTAAATAGAAAACGAATAAAGTATCTATCTATCTTTTCAGGTATATTTCATGTCGGACTACTATGTATGTACTATCATACTTGTGATTCAAACATTTTTAAATGATATATTTTTTTCATTATAAGTACTAATTGATACAATAATTACTGATGATGTATATCTCGTAGAGAATCAAGGGGGAAGGGGCAATTGCCCCCCTACCTTCCCTAAACGACGCCCATGACCGGGTATCGGCAGAAATTAATGTGTCCAATTAAAAAATTATGAGGTGAAACTGATCGAATGTTTAGTCCTCGCGAACTATTACAAAATTTCTACCCGATGAATCATTCATTGGTTTGCATTAGTGAAAACTGTTTATTAGTAAGGAAACGAATCTGTTGCCCATGATTACTGCATCCTTTGAGTCATGTTTCAATGTTTAGTGAAATAATCCGATTTCAGAAATATGAGCAGTGGCGGATTATAGGGAAGGTGCAAGAGGCGCACGTTCAATTTCTACGGGAAGATTATTCCACTCACATTCTTCCTATAACCACATTATACAGGGAGTTCCTTAATGACATGCTGATATTCAATGAGGCGATTCTTTGAACCATTTCAAGAACAAAACTTTATATGAACATATGTCGTAAAAGTCCTAACTTTTGAGATACAGGGTATCAAAGTTGAAAAAATAAATGAATTATTTTTTTTCTACCCTGTATATCTTTTTCTGATCGCAAAATTCATTCTGCTATGTGACTGAAACGATGCAAATTTTCCAAGGGAAATAAAGGTATATAGAAAAAAATATCAAATTTTCACTTATCTTTGGACATTATACGACTTCGCTATTGAAATAATCTCTTCTCATGTTGAAAACGAGAGCAGAACCGGTCCCGAAACGTCCAAAGATAAGTGAAAATTTGATATTTTTTCTATATACCTTTATTTCCCTTCTCCAAAAATTTTTTCAATACAAATTGTCACTGACAAGCTAGTGAATTTTTCTTTTAGGCTCTCTGATAGGAAAATTCTTTAAACGCAGTGACATTTTGGGGCAAATCATCTGATTTGTCCTTACTACACGTATATTGAAATAATATTCATATTTTTATTTTATAGAAACGAGGAGAGAAAATCCCAAAAAATTTGGAATAATTCAATAAGGATGTCAACAATATTATCCCAGTTATTATTTAAAAACTGTTTTTTTTCAAAACTTCATCACCCTGTATTTGGACTTTTAGGGCATACGATAGTGGGGAGTTTTTTCTTAAAATTAGTCATAGAATCATCCCCTTGAATATTAGCATGTCTTTAACCCTCTATACATCAGTGCTGTATCAGTACCTACTTGAAATTGCAAAAAAATCACTTATATTATTTCAAAATACATAAAATATACCTGGATATAACTGATATAAGCAAGCAATTTTTCGAAAATGTAAAAATTTTGATAGACTGATGAATAACCTGTTTCCTGTTATGAGTGGTGGTTGTTGATTCGGATTCGACAAAACAAAAATGGAGTGAATCAGGGAATCTCTGAATTATTTTGGTGAATTGAACAAATGAGTCAGTATCCCTTGCTCCCAACACATTTTGGGAACATCTACCTCTGCTCGAGGTAACCTATATCACTATCTAAAATACATTTTACTTGTTTTTTCTATTGATCCTATTTTCTGATCATTTTATATACGTACCAATTGTAACAAACAGAGAGCATGCAACTGAAATATTCATAATACAATAATGTGATGCAGTTGTTGTGAGTCTAGAAGAAATCTAATTTTCAATTTGAAGGTTTTTGACCTTGAATTCCAACAAAATGCTCGCCTGCGGCACATTTTTACCATACAAAATTTCAGTCTGAGTGTCTTGACCTCCTTATTCCTGGTATATATACATTGAAATGGAGTTGATGTTGTCACTCTGGAATAAATCCAATTCTCAATTTGAACGCATTTGGAGCTTGAACCTCAAGAAAATGTCGCCTGCGGCACTTTCAATAATCAAGTAGTTTGTCTGGGTTTCTTGAATTGCCTCTGGTATTCACTAACGGTCCTTTGTCTCCATCAAGAAGGGGGTGCTCAAAATAAATTGCACTTCAGTCTACAAAACGTCTTAATCCGCCACTGGTCATGAAATAAGTATAGTGTGAAATCGAGCAAGACCACTGACGGATGAAATCCGTCCAAACTATAAAACTATAGCCTTTTGAAATCAGCATATTCCATTAGATATTTCAAAACGCCAGATATGAAGGTGGAGCCGTGACGTATTAGTCTCGAACTGTAGCTATCTCTCTCTCTCTGATACCTTGCCATTCTGCATTGTTTCAGTGTGATTGGTCAGCTCAAGGACAAAAGGCGTGTTAGGACTAATTCGTCACAGCAATCACCGATGATGTCGTTTCAAAAATAACAGTCTTCCCCATTGATTTGGGAAATGACATAACCCATGTAGTCCAATCATTTGGTAGTTTGAACAGGAAAAAATTGCTAAAGAATTTTTGTCAAGGGATCCATATGTTTTTTGGGATGCTGATTCTGAAAATTCAGTTTTCGACTAGATTCGTACTTGATGAACAGGGTGGGCAAAATTGGGCGTTTTCACCGTCTATCTCAATAACTAGATTTGTCTGGAAAAAACATTCCCTATGATATTCATTTTCCACCTTTGGTGAATATATACAGAGTGTCATTTTCAACCTCGATTCTGCCTGTTGATAGCATTATCCAGAAATATCGATGATTCCATAGCTGCTGGCGAGCAGTGTTATCATTGGAGATGATCCCACTTGGTCCATGACTCCATGAGTGTATCATTTGTATATTTCTGACTGTTGCGAGTTTTTGAATCCTACCTCAATTATTTTTACAGAAGATACGGGGGTGTAACCATAAGAAATGTGACACACTCAATATATTTTTGCGAATATATCTGAAATTGTGGAAGGAAAAGGTAGGGTTATATATATATTTGTAATGAGAACGCCTGGGACTATTCAACTGTGCCAAAATATACGGGGTGTTCCATTAGAAAAAACATAATTGGCTGCCGTATCTTTTCAACGTCACCCTGTATAAAATTTTTGATGATGCCAATGGATTCCACGCATCATACTGTATAAATATATGTTTGAAATTTTATGATACCTCTCACCGTAAAGTAGTCAGAAAATAAAATCGAAATCGGCAAATTTTCAATTTCCCCCTGTATCTCTAAAACGAATGAAGATATCTAAATTTTGATTGTGCCATTCGAGGTTTCTCCAAAATCGACCCCGGAACATGTATATCGGTTTTTCGATAACTCCTCTAGTTATTGAGATAGACGGCGAAAACGCCCAATTTTGCCCACCCTGTATATTTGTGATTTGTAGGGAAATTGAAAATGAAGGCATAAAATGAATGTTAAGGAAGGAGGTTCAGAATACTCCATGGTGAGACATACTAGGAGGAAACACTAGCCTCGCGATGTATGATAATTGAAAATCTGTAATACGAATATTTTGGACAACTTTAAAACTATTGTCAATTTTCAGGGCGCTCTAGCGGCTGAATCAAACAAGATATCAAGCCGCTTTTGATCTTGCTTTACAGTAAATTTTAGAGGCTTTAATTTTTTTCTCTAAATCACGTCGTTTCGGAGTAATAAGCAATAAATCAGTCCCGAATTTTCATGGTTTATTGCGATTTTCGTGGTGAAGCCATACTCGAGTCTAGTCGATAACTAGATCTTCAGATTCAGTACCAAAAAAATCATATACCTAGATCCGCGAAGAAAAATTCTTTAGCGATTTTTTCCTGAATTCAGTGTTTTCCCTCACCAAATGACTGGATTAATGATGAAAAATCATCGAGAAACAATCGGAATTTTGAAATTTCAATATTATAGAAAAAAAAACTCAGGAATAGGTATACTAAATCTTCATTCTAGGGATGTGATATATACAGGGCCTAAAAAGGTTGTCATAACCGTTAAGGAAACGAAAACGGAAACAGGTTTTCCTGGTGAAACCGAGTTGATTTCTTCCCATGTGACAACCACGCAGGTTCCAGCAGCTTCTACAGCTACGAGGGAACTCGATGACCTCATGGCCAGCCTGTCGAATGCGAAGGTGAGAACCTCAATTCTTATTTTACTATTCAACCCTCCTTCCAACCAATACGACTATTGTGTATATCATCTACAAAACATAGGCTGAAAATATTGGATCAATATTCATGTCAACATTTCACAGTTGAAAATGGGATGAAACTGCACTTATCATGCAATGCTTTTTTTTGAAATTTTTTTTTTTGGTGCTCACGTAATTTTGTCTGAAAAACACGAATTTGATAGTGCAAATGTGAAGAAACCATTATTTAATGAGATATTTCACTATACAGTTACAGATTTCTCCTTCTTTTCCGCCTGTCTTTTGGATCCCATTTAGAACAATTTGACCTTCTTTTTTCATCATTGGACAATTTTTATATCACAATGTACTACAATGACACATTTTTTTATTATATGAGTCAATTAGAAATATGATTTTCTTGCGATTTATCTATATTCAGTGGAAAGAAGGAAGAATATCATTTAAAATAATGCCGTGTGTGATGTCGTCATTCAAGAGCAATCTGTTGACATTTGACATCTCGAATTTGGATTGACTATTGATTAAATGGCCATCATCTGGAATGATTGTTCACTAAATATAAAAAACTCTCCATAAAAATCATATTTTGTGTTGAATTTTCTATATAAAAATGTGTCTTCGAACATTGAATTTTTCATCAATCAGCTTGACTTGTTCCCGAATGATCTACTAATAGAGGTGTATGTTCCTTCCTCACAAAATATTAACAAAGTAGTACGAAGTAGTTTAGACTAGGACAAACTAGTTCATCCTATCGCTCTTCGGATATACTGATTTAGCCTAGGAAAAACTAGTTTATCCTAAAATCGGGTTTGTCCGGTGAATATCCACATGGATCACTTTGGTCTTGTAGTGAATTCACTAATCTGCGTTGTTGTTTTGTGGATTGAAATAGACGAATCATTTGTTTTTCCTAAACATGTTATAAACATTCTTCTAGCGATCTGTTTAGTTTGTATGTATATATACTTTGAACAGTTACATTTTGTTTATTGAGTTTAGATTCGCAAATGAATATTTCTGCAGAAGTTGAGGCAAATATTTTTATTTATTTTGTGCATTAAAGAGATATACCTACTCTCTCTCCCCTCCTGCTACACATACAGGGCGTTTCCTCGGAAAACGGACATACTGTAACCTGAACTAGGGGACTTTGGACATATCATCTATTTGAAAGTCTCTTTCAAAATCTCAGTGTTCTCCTTTCTGATATACAAGGGGTTCCTTGATTTTTTGGCGGAAATAGTGTTTCATTTTTTTCTGCAATTATCGTTCAACCAAATTACTTACGCTCTCATCAACCCCCAGTTTTTTCGATTATAGAGTATATAGAGAGAATTTTGTTGGATATCGGCACTTGATATTTGAATTCATGATTATTAATATGACGATTCAAAATCATTATTCTATTGTCATGTTTTGGGATTTTGATAGCTTAGGTCCAAACACTAAGGAAAATCGAATAAATAGTGGTATTAATTTAATTTACGATGTTTTCCCCGATTTCAACATCAAACATTGAAAATAATATTTTGTTCAATTCTAGAAGATTATTCTTTTGCATCCCAAATATTTATTAATGTACCTACTATCATTATCGAAAATAGTGAGCAAATTATGAATATATGCGACTGAACGGCGTCATTTTGTATAAATGAATGAGCGAAGCTCAAAGTAATTTCCACAAATGTTCATTAATGAACGAAATTGGTAGATAACGAGATGAAAACAACTACTTTCCTGGCTATTTACCACGCAGGACATTGAATTACATCCTCCCGAAATCTATGCAATAATTCGTATAGACGAATAAAATCAAAATTGGTTCTTTCCTAAAGGCCGAGCTGTGCTTAAGTGGTTCAGGTCCTATTGACTACCTGCAGACCGGTTTCCAGTTTTGGAATTTTTCTTTCCTTCTGCTTAGGTGGCGTTCGATCGTGTCCTTCTCACGGATGCCGTACGTCTCTTGTGTAATAAATGCTGAATGCGTTTACGTTGGGTCAGGTTCTCACCAGATAGCGGCCATGAATGCTATCTGGGACAGCCCTGCAATGATGAGAACCAAAAGCTCGAAACCGGTCTGCAGGTACTCAAGCTTTCCTGAACCAGTCAAGCCCAGCTCGGCATTTAAAAAGGAAACACTTGCGATTTTATTCGTCTATTCGAATTATTGCATAGATTTCGGGAGGATGTAATTCAATGTTCTGCGTGGCATATAGCCAGGAAAGTAGTTGTTTTTCTATCATTATCTACTAATCTCGTCCATTTATGAACATTTGTTCAAATAACTTTGAGCTTCGCGTATTTATTTAACATTTCATTCCACTCTGAGCATTTTGGCTTTTTGTAGTTGGGACTATTTTGTATATTTCGAAACACGATATAATATTCTCTATGAAGTTTTGATGAGAAAATAGATCAAATTCTACAACATCTGAATTCGATAATTTTCGTACATAGTGTATTATTGTCCGAACTGTCATAAATTGTGTAATGTTGATGTTATTCAGCTATGAAATGGAAACAAATCTCCATCTCTAACTAATTTTAATACTGGCATCGATCCAGAAACATAAAAAATGATGAATAGGTATCATAATTTTTCCTAATGTATTCCATCTCCACACCTCCAATACCATCAATTCGATTTTCTAATCCACCCAAGTCTCCGTTTTCGGAAAACCACCTGTTGCACCGACCTCACCGACAATTCCACTCGCCTTTTTCCCGATCTAATAATTATTCGTGACATAATTTCGATTTTCGAGTGGTTCCCGAAATAACTTCAACAACCCGTCTAAAAATACACCGCATCTGCCTGTTCTCTTCAAAACTAACGCACAGACAAAGACGCAGCGACGAACGTACGATTTTCCGAAATTAGGAGGTGGAAACGTGGGCCATACTCCAAAACGCTCCAAAACCGAATCATCTTCGCCAGTCTCGTTCCAACAGCAGCAAAAGCGGTTAGTCACAGTCTCCTGAACACTCAAAAAATATTTTTCACTCGACCGAAATCCATAGCAACTGTGAAAACTTCACCAACGAAGTCACATCTTCGGTGAAGTTTTCTCAGAGAAAAACCTAATTCCATTATTTTTAGGTTAACCCGGGGCTCCAGCATCACACGGTCTCTGACTCGCAATACGCGCGTCCCATCAAGGCTACCCAGTCCCAGACAGCCCCCAAAAAGGACCTAGATTCCATGCTAGGCAACCTACAAGCCGACATGAGCCGACAAGGAGTCAACACCAGCCAGAAGGGCTGCTGCAACGCCTGCGACAAGCCCATCGTGGGTCAAGTGATCACTGCCCTGGGCAAAACCTGGCATCCGGAGCACTTCACCTGCGCCCACTGCAGCCAGGAACTCGGCACCAGGAACTTCTTCGAGCGGGAAGGCAAACCCTACTGCGAGCCAGACTACCACAATTTGTTCAGCCCGAGATGCGCCTACTGCAACGGACCTATCCTCGACGTAAGACACCTGTTGAGCCACCTGTTGCACCTAACCTTTCTTTTTTGTTTTGCAGAAATGCGTGACGGCTCTGGAGAAGACCTGGCACATGGACCACTTTTTCTGCGCTCAGTGCGGGAAGCAGTTCGGAGAAGATGGCTTCCATGAGCGCGAAGGGAAGCCGTATTGTCGGGACGACTATTTCGATATGTTTGCCCCCAAGTGTGGGGCTTGCAATCGTGCCATAATGGAGAATTACATCTCCGCGCTGAATTCGCAATGGCATCCTGATTGTTTCGTCTGCAGGGTGAGTTTGATATGGAATATTCTTTTTTTTTCTCTTGCAGGGATTTTTTTCAAACTTGTCTGTCGATAGGACTGCAAGTTGCCGGTGCAAGGAAAGTCTTTCTATGCGGTGGAGGGTAAACCAGTTTGCCCGGGATGTATCGGAGCTGATGAGGAAGAGGACGAATGATATGCCCTTGAGAATGACCCCTTATATGCCCCTTCTTTCATGCTAAAAACCGCCCGATATGCCCCTTCTCGATTTGAACTGTCACCTCCCCCAATGCTACAACTATTGTATAAAATTTATATATTATTTTAATAAAGATTGTTGAAATAAATGAATAAAAAAAAGGAAAAAAAAAATAGAAAGAACGAAGAAACCACAAGCCACAATCACATACGCCGAGACTTGTTCTCTTTCGGGCCTGTTTTTTGTGATGAATGGGTTCAGTCTTGACTGAAATTGTTTTATTTCGGAACGGCGAGTTATTTTAAGAAAATGTCTAGGTACAAGTAAATATTACACGCCGCTGTGAATGTTGCGCTTGTGGTTTCTTTCTCGTACGAAAATAAAGAAAATAGAGATGAAAGAAAGTGATTGAAGCGTGGCGTTACGGCATACGTCGTATTAAGCCCACGCGAAAAGTATTTTTAAATTGCGTATCCACCAGGTGCAGCGACATCGAAAAAAACGTATGGCATGAATGGCGACGTGTTTATAGGGTGTTTTCTTAGGTTATAGTTGATTTTGCCACAGTAGAGTGCTCAGCAGATCCAGTTGACAGTAAGTGCCCCCTTTTGTTCAGTGCACAACCACCAATTCATGCCACGCGAACCAGGTTGCCTATTTATCATGATTTCAACACTGGTAGGTACACAAACATTTGACCCAACATCAGCTGCGCACTTCGAAGGTGCAAATTCATTACTGCAAGGAAGGTACCGTTAAAATTTTTAGCTTTTCATTGAAAGCTGTAGCGATATGGGTATGGAAATGTTAGTGCAAAGACAAGTGGTTCTTAGAGGCATTTACCTCTTGTTCTTCAACCGTGACATCAATCTTTTGGTCAACCAGTACTTCGACCTCTTCAACAGTGTTCACGATAACAGCTAATTTCATCGTGATGCAACAATAAGTCAACTTTTCTTTGATGCTGATGTGTCCTCAAGGTTCAGAAAAAAACTTATCTCATGGTCAAGGACAGTTTTTGGGCTCTAGGGAATCATGTCAGACTTGGAGCTAGAAGGAGCGAGAATCTGTCAAGGACAGTTTGGGCTCTAGGGAATCATGTCAGACTTGGAGCTAGAAGGAGCGAGAATCTGTCTCACTCTTGCTTACAATTGGAAAAACTCAATACTTCTTAGATCCCTCAATAATGCGTTAAATTTAATTTTTCAAATCATTGGTAGATATATATTATTAATTCAGTTCAGGAATCACAAGATCAGTTAACAATTGTGGTATTGATTGATTGATTCATTAATAGCAGAATGATCAGTCAGGGTTCGAAGCCCAAAACACTGCAGCCTTTGGGCCTATTGTATTCCTGATCATGCTGTTGACTTAGGTGAACATGTTCGCTACCTTGATAAGGTTTAGCAGCCTCTTCACCAAATCATCCTTTGGAAAAGCCTCTTGAGAATTTGATGCTCCCAGAAGGTTGTATCTCCAACGCGCTAGTGCTTCGCACTCCAATATTACATGGATGGCAGTTTCCTCCTCCTCATTGCATAGGGGTTCGTCTGTATGGATGCCCATTTGATGCATATGTTTCCTCAAGGAGCAGTGACCGGTTATTAGTCCCGTCACTTGTCTGATCTGACTTCTGTTCAGGCTCAGAATGTCGTTAGTCACTGTTTTGGACAGTGTTCCAACCATCAGTTTACTGTGTCTTTGTCCTGGGACATTGTTCCAGTATGCCTGATGTCTTTCTTGCATCCACCTTTCCAGCCAGCCGCGTATTGAGGTTTTGGGGATACCGAACGCAGGCTTCGGTCCCATAAACAACGCCGCAGACCCTTGCTTAGCAAGAGCGTCCGCTGCTTCATTGCCTTCAATTCCCTTATGCCCTGGCACCCATTGAAGAGTTGCCTTGTTGTGGTTAGCCAGGGTTAGCAGGCTTTGAAGGCAATCCCAGACCAGTCTTGATCTGATTTTATTGCATGTTAAAGATTGAATGGCCGCCTGACTATCTGAGCATATGGGGATTTGTTTGCCTCTGTATGCACTTACGATATTCTCTCTCAGACATGCCTCAATAGCATGCACCTCTGCCTGGAATACTGAAGCATACCTCTCCAAGGAAGCACAAATCCTAGTTCTGGGTCTATCTCCATATATTCCGGCTCCTGTACCTTCATCAGTCTTAGATCCGTCAGTGTACCACACTAACGTGCCTTCCCGACAGTTAGTCAAGACCATTTCATACCAGTAGAGCTGAGTGTTGAAGAGTATGGTAGAGGTCTATATATATTGGCTCAACTTGTAAAATATTTTGGAGGAATTCCAATATGGGGAAATCGAAAGATATACTGAAGGCAACCACTTTCAAATATCTCAAACGTATGATATGCACTTGAAAACATGAGTATTGGCACTCATTATATCAGAGGGTTTCTTCTCTCTCAGGAATAACAAGAAATCGTTCAATATTTTTCTGGCCGCGGTGCAAATAATTTCCTGATTCAATCGCAAATGAATACGTGACCCATGAGACAATAATATGAGAATTTTTTTGTACCTTGTAGGTACAGGGTGCGCCTGTTTTGAAACGACCCCAACATTCATTTCGTGAGATTGTTCAATAAACAGGGTAATTCGTTTTTCCGGAAAGGACATAAACTTTGAATTTTTCAATGGAACAACCAATAAATTTTCCGACATGATAGGGCCTTTTGTGATACATTTTGAGATGAATCTTGGGATCGGTTCAAAATTAACTGAGCTAGAGAGGGGACCCTGTACGTTGATCTTCACCTAGACGTTTTAACGAATTACAGGAGCTCGAAACATGAAAATTCTCTGTTTTTTTTTCAGGACTGCAGGCAACCGTTCATCGGAGGTTCATTCTTCGACCACGAGGGTCAGCCCTATTGCGAGACGCACTACCACTTGAAGAAAGGCTCTTTGTGCGCAGGCTGTCACAAACCGATATCCGGTCGGTGCGTGACCGCCATGTTCAGGAAATTCCATCCCGAGCACTTCGTGTGCGCCTTTTGTTTGAAACAGTTGAACAAGGGCACGTTCAAGGAGCAGAACGACAAACCCTATTGCCACCTTTGCTTCGAAAAGTTGTTCGCTTAAGTTTCTCTTTCGATGCCTTCATTTGTGCATCGAAATTGCAACTTGAGAAGATCAGGAAGTCATCAGCTATACTTGATATTTTCCTATAGCTATCTCTGTTTATGTAGTGTGATGAACAGAGGTAACCATAGAAAGGAAAATCAACTTTAGCAGATTGAGCAACAGTAACGAACATACCTTCCTCTTCTATTCTAGTACAGAATTTTTATAACAAAATGTAGTTGATGATGATTGAACAGCAGTTGAGTAGCTGCAAAGATTATGTCTGGGCATGTACTAGAAGCAGTACGATATAATATACTTGCCACCTTTGCTTCAAGAAGTTGTTTGCCTAATGCTTTTCTCTCGATGCTATTTTTTTGGCATCGAAATCGCAACTCAAAAATGTCAGCACAGAATTTTCATAAAAAACCACAGTTGATGATGATTGAACAGCGGTTGAGTAGGTGCAAAGATTATGTCTGGGTATGTACGAGAAGCAGTACGACATAATACTCATTTGCCACCTTTGCTTCGAAAAGTTGTTTGCTTAAGGCTTTTCTTTCGATGCTATTTTTATGCATCGAAATCACAACTCAAAAATGTCAGGAAGTCAGCTATACTCTATGGCTATCTCTGTTTATGTTGTGCGATGAACAGAAGTAACCATAGAAGGGAAAATCAACTTTATCAGACTGATCAACAGTAACGAACATATCTTCATCTTCGGCTCTAGTACAGAATTTTCATAACAAAATGCAGTTGATGATTGAACAGCAGTTGAGTAGCTGCAAAGATTATGTCTGGGCATGTTCGAGTGGCAGTACAAGCCCTATTGCCATCATTGCTTCGAAAACTTGTTCGCTTTAGCTTTTCTTTCGATGCGTTTTTTTTAGTGCATCGAAATTGCAATTCACATGTCAGAAAGTTAGCTGAACTTGATTTTTTGCTATTGCTTCATCTGTTTGAGTAGGGTGATAAACAGAGATAGCCATGAGATAAAAAAACAACTTTAGAGGATTTTGCAACGGTAACGAACATACCTTCGTTTTCGTTTCTAGTACAAAATTATTCTACAAGAATGTGCAGTCGAAAATGATTGACCAAAAGTTTGGTAGGTAGTTGCAAAGATCATGTCTCGGCACTTTCAAAGAGCAGTACCACAAGTCATATTGCAACTTTTGCTTCGAGTCGTTGTTCGCTTAAGTTTAAGATGTCAGAAAGTTAGCTGAGCTTGATTTTTTCTATGGCTCTCTCTGGTAACTATAGGTAAGATGACTTTCATCATAATGAGCAACACTAACTTAACTGGGCTGGTGGCCGTGAGCGTAGAGTCGCTGGCTGTTGCCCAGGCGGTCCGGGTTCGATCCCCGGCGCGAGCACTGAATTAATTTTCGGTAGTTTCGTTGGGCGGGAGGAGATAGGTGGCCAACCCAACATTCTTGGTACCTAGATATCAATCCTTTGGACTGTCCACGGTTACCAGCCGAGTAGTGCTTCGGATGACACTTAAAAAGCTAAGGTCCCCGTCTTCTTAACTCACACAAGTCTCTGACTTTCGAGGGTTGCTTTGCAACTAAGCTGGCGGTTAAAAACACTTTTACACACTTTTTTTTTTTTACTAACAGACCTTCGTCTTCGATTCCAGTACATAATAAGCACCAGAATGCCAGAAATGATGGCCACAATCAGTGTCTTCTGCTATTGCACTACCGAATTGAATATGGTCAGTTTGTCAGTTGATTTTTCCTGTATTGATATCAAAATGCGATAGCTTCATCTATACTTAAACTTTTTATTTTCAAATGTTGGCAATATTTTAGTCAGTCGTTGAATTGAGGTGCATTTACATTTAGTCATTTTCTGATAGGTTTAGCTGTATTTGAGTGATTCATAGTATACGCCATATGGGTTGTTACGAACCCCGTTCCACATCACTTAAATTGCCAACTGAACAAATCAGGTTTGCCACTGACTTGCGATTTTCAAGGACACTGTGTTGCTAAATTCATCGACTGATGGATGTTCATCAAATGATTGATTGTTCAACGAATCAGATACGGGTATAATTCAGATTCACCAAATCACACAAAGCAGTATAGTTCGACTTAGCAAAATATCTTGAGACTGAAGGGAGACTTTGATGATGAAACAGAGATAATCAATCCTCGGAGCCTTCAGAATGATCTAACCAACTGACCATGTTTTACTTAGAAAGGGTCAGTTATTTCATGCTATACAGTCTGTCCAAGATAAGGTTGCACAGCATGGGGATCTCGGAAACGGTAGGAGATACGAAGTCGGTTAAATGGGGACAAAGTTGCGCATTTGGAGGCTCATTCCAACAGCCTTCGAAAA